AACGAAACTTTCCTCAGTAGAAAACACTGGAAAGGCACAACTTGCTAGACTATGGGACTGTGATGTATTCAGTGGGTTGTACTTTGGTAAGGAACAGTAGTTTGAGGGAATTATAATCAGGTAAGCCCTATAAAGAATTCTCTCCATGAAGTTGGAGTCATAGGATCAATGCAACATTTTTCTCTACGGCCTGAAGCACCCTTCCTCTGGGGATGCTGTTTTGGAAATGACAGGGAACAATCAGAATAGGATTATTATCCCATTTTATAGATGTGGCTTGGAGGAACGAAATGTCACAAGGATACCTAGAGAGTACATCTGAGCCTTAAACTCAGCTTTTCTGACTCATTTTACTGTGGTGTTTCTTTTTCTTGCACCATGATGTCTGCGCTAGTTAGTTCCTTCATTTGCTGGTTCCCTGGACTTGCCAGCCTCTGAGGCTGGGATCCCACTTGGAGCTATGCTACAGTGGTGTCCAGGGAGGCTCTTCACTCCTGTATGTCCTGCATATGGATGTGCTCTGGGTTGCCATGGTATCTAGGGATGTCTCTGCTGCCACTGAGTCCTGGTACTTCAGAGTCAATTCCTCCCTTTGTATATCTCATTCTAAAATTGGCCTTAGTTTTGAGCATCAGTGGATTCTTCTCTCAGGGACACTATGCCCATCAACCAACCTCATGATATTGAAGCATAATGAGCCAGAATGCAATTTATTAATCAAAAATGAGAACAATGTTTGCCAAGAAGAATGGGCATCTATTCCTTAGCCAGCATTTTTCCTCTGTGGATGAGTCATGGTGAAGGCAAAAGAATGAACCAACTGGGAGGGAACCAACTGGAAGGGCAATATACTCGACAGTGTTTTCCAGCTCATCATAACTTTTACTAAATCTCTTGTTGATAGATTTATACCAACTAAGGGAGCCAGAGGCTGGAGTCCTTTAGCCAGGATGGTTTCTCCCTTGGGCAATGCTGAGGCTGCTTGTGCAGTTCTTTTTCCACTTGCAGGCTGTTGGCCATTTTGCTGATTTCATTTTACTGATTTCAGGCAGTGACAGCCTCAGTGCTGTTGACATTTCGGGCTGGAGAATCCTTTGTTGTAGGGGCTGTCCTGTGTACTGTCGAATGTTTACCGCCTTCTCTAGCCTCTGTTCACTAATGCCAGTAGCATCACTTGTTGGTGACAACCCCAGATGTCTCCAGGTATTGCAGATTGTTTTGTTAGCTCTCTTCTCCCCAGCTGAGAACTGCTGCTTTGTCTTCCTAAGTGGGACCAGTTGTGTGTTATCAGATAGTGTAGACGTTCAACAGCAGTTATAAGTGCCCTAGTTTTCTATTTACTAGTTATTCCTTAGAGTCTAAGTTGGTGTATTAACGGATGAGCGGGCTCACCCTTTATGTTCATGTCTTTCCTCCAGCTCTCCAAGTTTCCTTTCTAGCTCTCTTCTCTCCTATATTGCAGTTGTCTCCCTAACCAAATGTTTTTCAAGTTTCCATTGCATGTATGTTTCTTCCTCGTACCTGTGGCTGAAAAACATTGTAACTAGTGAGTTTTTGTCTCAGTTTCCTGACAAGGTTTTGCATTCTGACCACTGGTTACGTAATGGGAATAAGATAAATGAAATGAGGAAGGTGGGTAGCAAAGCTTAGCTTGGCTCTTTCAGAGGCCTCTGTCACAAGATAAAGGAAACGTCTGTGTGGCAATGAGTTAAGCGAGCTGAGTGCCTCCTCCTTTGCTTGTCAAATCCACCTTGACTAGTTGGATAGTAATGGATATTGATACTCCATTAGTGTGACCAGGACATGGTAGAGGTCAGGGAGAAGACTTCAAGGTACTGCTTTATGAGACATCCTTTCCCTCTTTGTCCGTTAGGTTTCTGTTCTAATCCTGCCACGCTAATTTTCTTATGTAATTATCTGTCAGCCTTTTATTTACCTTCTCTGCTTGGTTGCTGTCGTAGTCCAGAACACCATCAAGTGGCTCAAGTGCTGTAGAAATATTGCTGGGTTGTAGACTAGCTATGTCTCCCCAAGGCAGCCGCCTTCTTACAAGTCACCAGCCCTATAGCAACCCTCCACCCTTCCTTCCGCCCTTTGTGCCTTTTTTTTTTTTTTTTTTTTTTTCAGTTCAGAATTGCATTTAGAGAACCAGAGTTTTGTGCTGTGGGGTTCCAGTGGCAGAGCGGGATGAGCTGGATTTTCCAGGCTGCTACACACAATTACCCTTAATTTTGAAGAGTAATGCATTTTAAAATAATTTTTTTCTGTGTTGGCCTCTTTAACCCAAATGCATAACCACAGCTGGCTTTACCCTTGGCCCTGAAAGCATGTGGCTTGGGAGGTAGAGCTAGTTAAGGAGTTTGGTCAGATTGCGCATTTTTGGTGGAGTGAGGAGTGAATTCCAATAACACTCAGTAAGGCTGGTTTTTACTTGAGTCCTGTCCATACCCCTAGCCCGCCCCACCCCACAGTTTCCTAGATTTTTTTTATAGTGGACTTGTACCTCAGTTATTCCAATTGTGGGTCACTCTGGAAGTGACCGTTACTCAAGAATTTTGATTTGGGGGAATGAGACTGAATCTTTGCTATATTAAATAATAAATGTTCTGTACATATGCGTGTGTGTGAGACACACACACACACACACACACACACACACACACACACACATCCATGCAGCTCTCCTAATAGTGAAAGGTCTTTAGAAGCTGCTAAATCTCGTTTTCTCCAGTGCTGTCACTTTTACAGTAAGTCAGCATAAATCACATGAAATCAAAAATTTTGTCAAGGAATGAATATGTTTCCATCATCTCTAGGCCTACTCCACTGCCAGGAAGTGACTTTGACTCATTAAAACTGCTTTCTCCATTATTGTCCATTCTCCAACTGAAGGGTTTTGAGAAACATTTGCTTGGGTTTATATGAGAGGAGCATAGTAAAGCTTTATTTATTAATTGTAGTATATTTTAAAAACAAATGATGGGCTTATCCTTAAAATGTATATAAATATTTTCAAATTAAACTACGGCTGGGCTTATAGCACCGATCATAATGCTTCATTCAGTCATTCAGTCAGTTAACAACCATTTTGCTTGCATTTTTTTTTTTTTTTTCAGTTGGAGTCTCCCTCTGTTACCAGGCAGGAGTGCAGTGGCGTGATCTTGGCTCACTGCAACCTCTGCCTCCCAGGTTCAAGCGATTCTCCTGCCTCAGCCTCCTGGGTAGCTGGGACTACAGGCACATGCCATTACGCTCTGCTAATTTTTGTATTTTTACCAGAGTTGGGGTTTCACTGTGTTGGCCAGGTTGGTCTCCATCTCTTGACCTGGTGATCTGCCTGCCTCAGCCTCCCAAAGTGCTGGGATTACAGGTGTGCACCACTGCACCCAGCCTTTGCTTGCCTTTGGTATGCTGTAGTCTGGGCACTCCGTATGTGGGGAAAGGGTAGAGAGGGCTGTAACCGAGGCAGATCTGTTAGGAGACAGTCATAACAGTATGCTAAAGGTATGTTTACCCTGATTGCAGCTCACAGAGGTAGGTATTCACAAATGAAGTAACTTTTCAGAAAGATCTGGAAAGCTGTGTATTGAAAGAATATGATGCATCTAGAGAATAGAGCAATCATAATGGTGGAGGAAAGTCTGGAAAGGGCTTTATGTCAGGAATCCCAGGAGCTGGGTATTTGGATTGAGCAGAAAGGAAAGCCAAAGGCTTTTAGGCAAGGAAAAGCCACAGTGAGATTTCAGTCAGAGCGACCTGGAGGATAGATTAGATGGTATAGCTGGAGGGAGGGACTGAGGAAAGATGGGAGCTTCTGCTAGGTCTGCCCAAATAAACACATGGTCTTGGTCAGATGAATAAATAAACAAAGCAGTGTGCTTGCTGTGCCAGTGCAACCCGGAGACAGGTTGCCCAGCCCCCACTTTCTAGCCTGAGCCTCCCAGCAGGTGCCAGCCAGAGTCTGAGCAGAGAGAAAGGAGGGGAGGCCTGCACTCACTGTGTCTGCCTGTAGATATTGATGACAAAATTAAATGATTTGCTAACTGATTGGATTTGGGAAAAAGGAGAAGGAGTCTTCAGAGGTTTAAAGTACATGCTTGTCAAGTACATACTTGTTAATTGAGGGTTTAGATCTCCTGTTGAGTACAACAGCGGGGTGACTTCAGGTAAGTTAGTGATCTTCCTTGGGCTCAGTTTTCACATCTTTTAAATGTAGGTAATATAAGTGCCTACCTCTTGGAGTCACAGTGATGATTACATGCAATCATGATTGTAACCTAGAGTACCCTGAAAGCACTGGGTTGGATTTGCTATTATTACTGATGTTACTGTCACTGATTCAGTAGTTTCTATTCAGGTCCTTTATTAAAATAGTTTGCTAAAATAATATAAAGACATGCATTTTGTATTTAATTTTCTCCAAGTGACCTAGGTTACTCCTCCTAAACTCTTGACTAGAATTAATTTGCTTTATATGTCTTTTCTTCAAGAAAACAAGAGGACAAGTGGGGTTGGCAGGGAAAGAGGAGATGTTGGTCGAAGTCCCGATAGAAAGTTTCAGTCAGAGAGGAGGAATAAGTTCTGGTGAGGTTATTACACAGCATGGTGGCAATAGTTCATAATTATATATTGTATATTTCAAAATAGCAAAAGAGGGGGATTTTAAATGTTCCCAACACAAAGGAAGGCTAAATATTGTAAGTGATGGATATGTTAATTAGCCTGATTTGATCATTCCATAGGTATACATGTATCAATACATCCAGTCATAAGATATCAATGATTACTCTTTGTCAATTAAAAAGGAAACTTAAACCAATACAGGAGAAGTATCAACTGTTCAAATACAGACTGGGAAGAGTTATGATTGACTGTGAATTAAAATAATTGACATAATGAATCAAGTTAGCAATTTAGGGTCCTCAGATGAAAGTTCTTCTAAATAGATATATATCCCCAGTTCAATTTGAACTAACCTGGGATTTTACTGTTTTATTGTATTGTTTATTTTACTTTGTGGGGAGAGAATGGAAGTGGTTCCAGTGGGGCTCTTTCCCTTTTCTTGATTCCAGCTTTTGGGGGTGTTTGCATTTGTCCAAGTGTGCTGAGGGGCCCTGTGAGAAACCCCATGTCATTGGAGTAACAGTGGAGGAGCAATTGGCAGGAATTTCATTCAGTTGAATGGGGTTTCATATGATTATGTACCTCATAAAAGAGGCTCAGTGGGTTCATTAATGCTTTTTGAATCATTGGAACCTTCCACCAAGCAGGGGATTGTTGAAATGTTCATTGGCAGGTGGGTGGTTGTAAAGTGTTAAATTTTCTTCTCTAATCTGAGCCAGATGATCAGGCTGTCGACTAGATTAGAAATTATCCTGAGGATAACAATAGAAAAATAAAAGAAGGATATCTATAGTCCCAAGTGTACAGACCCAGTGTGGCTCCATTGTCCCAGCACATTTAATTATACCAGCTTTCACTTTCAAAGTGCCCTGGGTTGGACAGTTCATTTTATGGCCACCTAAGTAGAAGCCACCTGCTTCCGTTTCCACTCATGTAAGCAAGTAGCTTGGGGGCACACCAGCTCATTAAGCAGTGGCTCGTGTACCCCTTAAACAGGACTTAGTAACGGCTTTTAAGGCGTGGGTTGAAAAGAGAGAAACTTGAATCTAGACACTAAAATGCCCTGGACAGAAGTATGGGTGTGAGAGAGCCATGTGCCAAACAGAAACTACTTCTCTAAATTAGTGCTTTGAAACTGATATCGTTTTCATTTCCACCTTGACTTCCATTACTATAGTTATGAAAATCACTTATCAAAAGGCTTTATGCAAATCTTCATCGAATCTGACAGATATACAGTCTTCACTGTGAAAAATTTCTGGTCACTTTCTTTTACCTAGGAGAGTGGTAAACATGGGTTATTCAACAGCTGGAGTTTCCATTGTGTAGCCATGCCTCTTTTCTATAGATCAGTATTGGTGTGTACATTGAAATAGAATCCAATGGTAAATATATGTTTAAAGGCCTGTAAGAAGACTTAGATAGCGAAATACAGATTTACAGTAAATCACTGGAGAGTTATGCTCATACCAAAATATCTAGCAGCTTAAAAATGATTTCAAACATGTACGCATTTAGCTTTTTACCCATTTTACAGGTGAGGGAATTCAGCTGTCAGGGAAGCTGGCTGCCCAACGCACATAGACTCAAAATCACACCCTGTCTTCTGCAGCATGCCATATGGTACACACTCCTGCTGCCAAGTTGTATCACTTTTGCCTCAGTTGAACCTGTTACACTGGATCACTGTGTTGAGCTGAGCTACTTGATGAAAGATGGCTCAGGAGCATGTAAAGAGTGCCATTGGGGTGGCAAACCATTACCCCAGCTGTGGCCCATGCCTGAGGATGGTAGAGAGAAGAGTGTGTAATAAAGATTCCTTTATGTACCTAGTGAGACATCCTTCCACAGTTGTAAGCGTTGTCATATAATTATCGTCAACTTGCTTAGGGCCACGTTGAATCTTTTCAAATGCATTGCTAACAATTCTACCATGTGCAAGTGTGCAATGAAACAGTCTGAGACTCGGCGTCTGGACCTGGGAATGGTAAGACAGGCATATGACGGTGTCTGAAAATACAAGAAGTTGTGAAAATTCTCAGATTTGTTTTTATCTCAACATATATCTTTAAGACAATTTTTCATGACTAGATCAAAATAAGGCCCAGAGAAATGGGATGATAGCAGTTTTCATGTTGAATTTCATCGTTTCAAAATCCAGAAGTTGTATTAGGAATAGTTTGGCCCGTCCATTGTAAGTGATATGTACAAAAGAGTATCAGATCACATGCAGGGGAAGGGAAACCGTCATGGGACTTTAGTCCTTGACTGGGGAGAGACTGCTGCCTTTAACTTTCAGGAAAGGGATCAGAGTGTTTTTTAAATTCTTAATTGCTACTGTGTGTCTGAATTTGTTCCAGCATTTGATTTGGACGTAGTCTTTATTTTTCTTCTTTTTCTTTTTCAAGGCTGGTCAAGTGAAGCAGTGGGAGTAGAGAAGAAACAAAGAAATCTGTAACTGGTTATGATCCATTAGTTGTGAACACCTCAGCATTTGTTCCAACTGGAAATATTCATTTGTTCATTCACAAATATTTATTGAGCACCTGCTGTGTACCATGTGGCATACTAGGTGATACATAAACAATGGTGAACCTCTTTGCAAGAAAAAAATAGACCTGTTGATTTCATGGGCTGGGCTGCTTATATACTAGTGGAAGAAATGTACATGATCACAGGATCACACAAATGAATGTTTAAACTATGCTAAGGGCTGTTGAGGGGGGAAGTTACTGACGCTGGGGGGCCTACAACAGGCAGATTAATGTAGTCAGGGAGGTCTGGGAGAAGGGTGAAAGAATTTTACTGGGTACAGACAACTAGCAGGTGGAGGCTGCGTAAAAGGCTGACCTTGGATGTTGCAGGAACTGAGGAGCAGAGTGCCGGAGGCTGGGAGCAATCCAGCCATGGATTAGACTGGAGAGGAGGACTGATTGGGATCATGGGTCTGAGCTTTTATCAAAAGGGCAAAGGGAAGTCACCGAAGTGTTTTACCCAAGGGGGTGACATGATCAGATTTATGCTTTGAAAATATCCTCCTGGCTTCAATGTGTAAATTTTACATCATTTAAAATTGGTCACAATGTGATCGTACAATCACTCCTGTTAGAATGTAACCATTTCTAAAAGATCAATTTAGCCACTAGTGTCTTCTTTAAATTTTAAACAGCAATTTAAACGAGTGATTTAGCTTGGGTAATGCAACCACTTAGGAATGATGAAGTACCTAGTTCTGTGGTTTTCAGACTTCAGAATGCTTAAGAATCACTGGGGACCCAGGAAATGGCATTTTTAGCAGCCTCTCAGGTGATGCAAGTGCGTGTGGTCCCAGACATCACTTTTCTCTTCTTTCAAGAAGCATGGTCCTAGAAAGTGGTAAGTAAAAAGAAATTATAAACCTCAAGGTACCACCTAATCAGGCAGTCAGAAGAGGCTGGAACCTCCTTATCACCCATGTTTGAACCTAGACCTGTTCTTCCAATACTGGGGATTTTATTCTAGTGCACCCAAAATGGATTCGAAATCCTTTGAGTTCTTTTTTTCATTTATTTCTAATCCTTTCACATGCAGCTGTTTTCTCAATCTGTGGCTCACTCTGTGTGTCTCTGACATTTTACTTTCATCTTTGTCGCTGTTTAATAAAAATCTTGTTCCATAAGTCCCAGATGAGGTTCAGGGCCAGGCAGGGGTTCTGAGGGGGTGGGTTAGCCTGGCCTGATGAGGAGGGAGATGAGAAGCCCCTCTGTGGATTTTGCTTATTTTGCCCCCTGCAGCAGGAGGCAGGGTTGTACAGGGGAGAGACTAGTTCATGACTGCCAAAATAGGGAATTGTTTTCAGAGTCACAAAGACTCGGGGACATACAGAGAATTCATTTTGGGGGAGCTTTCCTTGAGGCACCCTGCTCCCTGGTGCCCGTCTTCAAATACTGCTCAGAGGCCAGCAGGGAGGGCTAAGGTGGGCTCATGGTTCTTCCCTAGCAAGTGAGTGTAAGAGCCCAGAATTTCTAGTCAGGTGAAATCAGGTTGAAATGAATATTAAGGGGAAACACCAAGCAAAAGAGAAGTCATGTGAGAGGTGTCCGGCAGTTTGGTGGGCTGGGAAAGAGAGGCCTTTGGCTTCCTTTGTGAGCGAAGTGCCTGGACCAGCATCTCCTCCTGGACTGCATGATATGTGTGGATGGTCACTTTCTCTGGGAACCTTCCGTGACTTGCTGGCATTTGCTCCTTGGACACATGAAGTGCTTCCCTGTGCTGGCATTGATTGTGCTGTTTCACACTATTTCATGTCCTTTTCCCTGAGTAGCCTGGAGGGCTCATAGCGGGTGTTCCCAGGCTGAGTCCGTAAGAAGTACTCAGTAAATGTCTGTAGACAGAAGCAGTATTTTCCATGTATGTGAGCATTGTGTCCTTTTCACAGTCCTTTAAAATGGTTTCTTCATCTTTGAGTAAGGGCCCCGGGGACACTCTATTCAGGGATGCCTGGCATGTAACTCATGCTGTCCCCAATTTTGCCAAAGACCCAAGGTCACTGATTGAGGAGCCTCTGGGTGCAGGGGAGACACACGGCTGTGCAATGCCCTAACACTAGGAGGCAACAGTTACTGCCTTAGTGTCATTCCATTGTGCCCAAATCCACTCTAGATATAATAAACATTACAGAAGAAGAAACTAACATTTTGTCATTGCATTACTCTTTGCAGAAGTATTCCTTCCTTGCTTGTCTACTTATAATTCTCTCCTAGTCATCCAAGAGCCTACAGGGCATAGACATTAGAAGACCATAACTGGAAAGAACAGAGAAGTCATTTCTTGGCCTTTCTTCCCTTCATCCACAGTTCAGCCAGTGTTGAATTTGAAGAGTCTGTTTCTTCTTCCTTCCTCTGCAGCGACTGTGGGTGACCAGCATCTGTGATACACACTGGGGGCTGGGAATTTTTACCACATGTGTGGTTACCCACATTTCATTTATTACATTCTGAGAGCACCGTGGCCTTGATAATTTATGTTTCTAGGCTATAATTGCATATTATTTTTCTAGCAGCTATCAGGGGTTTCAGCTAGCAATTGAAACTTGATAGTGTCTTGGCTCTTCATTGCTGGAACAATTTATCCTGACTTTCAAATGCAGAGCTGAACCCATTTCTTATAAGCCAAGTAGCACACACATGGTAAACCCCCAACTCAAGTGTTCTGAGTTCACTCTGGAAATGGAGCATATTGGGGCCTTTGGAACTGCATTCTCAGACCTTTTCACATCCCCTTTCTCCTTCAGTACGATAAGCAAACAACTCTTTGCTTCCCCAGTGTGGAGAACCTGGCAGTTGCTGAGCATACCTATTCCAATTATGCATTCCAGAACTCAAGAAATGGCCATAGGATGGGGTTTGGG